CTCACACAAGCCCTGTGCACCACACTTGCCCACTCCGATTGAGTGAACACGTCAAAGCTGCTGGGCCTCTCTTTGCAGGACAGATTTATGCTGTCGACCATTTAGAGCTATTACACTGCCTCCCTCACAGAAATGCAGAGGGTCCATCAGATTCATAGGCAGCCATTAATTTCAAAGTGTCTGGTCTTGCGCTGCTCTGCCATGCTGTCCTCCCCCTAGTGCCTGACATGCAGAGAGCTGCATAAACATTTATGCAGCAGTATTTTTTAAAGACCCTCTGCAATGTCTTGTAAATCTGCCTGCTGCTTTGATGTCTTATCTGCTAGGTGTGTGCGTGCGTGTGTTTGTCTAACGATTGTTAGGTATATATGGACACTTTCCATGTACATTTCTTGCTTCAACATCACTAACTAGATTAGTGATAATTAGTATCACTAATCTAGTCACACAGAATTTTATAGAATGAAATAACTGAGGCAATTGCAAAACTTTATGTTAGCAGAAATATTTATTATTATTATTATTGTTATTGTTGTTATTATTATTATATAATTTCATCCAGTTATTGGTGTGCAGAACTTAGATATTTCCTTAAGCACATTTGTAAACAGTACACAAAACTGCAATGTCCACAATAAAACTGTTTAAAAACCTTTTAGATCTTAAAATGCATTGTCACAAAGCTGAAAACAAGCCCTTTTTCTAACTCATTGAAAGTTGGTATTTTTGGAGATACATGGTTTTCACAGAGCAGCGGCAGAATACGGATACAATCGTAGTAAGCTGAACAATGTGTCCATCAACAGTAATGCATCCTGTTCAGTGAGACACTGAACGTCCTACCTGCTAACAGTTATTTAGTCTTTGAGTATGATTTACGCTGCTGCCCTGCTTGTCATTCTGTTCAAGCTTAACTGTGATTTAAGCTTTGGCCTACAGAGTAAGAACAAGCAAGCAATTGTCTGGGGCCCAGAGTCAATACATTAACTAAAGATTTTACTAAGACACATTCTCCCTTTGGGAATGTTTCCTCTAAAAACTACAGATAATTTAAGCATTGCTCTTATAGTCCCTTTCCTCAAACATGAAATAGTAGTAGGCTAATAAATTAAAGTAATAAAACCAAATAAAATATCCAAACATTTTCTTAATATTCCAAGGGAAACAGCGACAATGTCTATCTGATTAGTGCCCCTCAGGCCTATCGCCTCTTCAACAGATTTGTTCCATGCTGTTTATGTAATGCAGAGAGAGAGAGAGACGCCAGTGATTTACAAGCCTGTGAGTGTTTTAGTGATGGCTGGTGCAGGTCAAGGTAATGATCATAAATAAGAGGTGCAGGAGAGGAGAGGAGGAGGAGGGTTGGGGGAGAAAGAACAAGTGAGAGAGAGTGGATGAACATCATAACAAGTCTAAGGATGGGTTCAAATTCCTACAGTTCATGGGTGTTGTAACATATAGCACCCTGAGCTGACCCAAAAAAAGAGCTGTGGAATTGGTTGGTGGGCTTCGATGGCAACTTCGAAATGGTTTACACTGAGGTGAAAACATTGGCAAATACTCATATAGTCATAACATTTTTCTACAGCAACATACATTATTCCTGAATCTGAAGTGCTCGTTTTGTAGGAGCCATCGCACCAGCTGTTCATAAGTCCAAATTTAGCTTAACGTGAGGGTGTACTAGGGTGGGATTTACGCAAACTACTATTTACTTTGACACACACACGCAATATTTCTTCATGTAGCATATAAAACTAAAACAAAGTCCTATATTAACAAATATTGGTGGCTGCAGACACACAACACTGACCTTTTCTAATATTTATTTTCCAACTAACTACTACAACCAACTCCTGAGAAATTAGCAAGTTTCTTACTTTGTAACTTTTCTGCTTGATACTGAGCAGGCAGCAGGCACATTTGGTTTACCAGAACTTTTTTTTTTACTGAAAACAGCTGCCTGCACTGACAAAAGTGAATCAACATCAAAGTTGCAGGCTGTATAACCGAAACAATGAGCTGAAAGATGTTAAAAACCTCCCCTGGCAAATGCAGTTTTAAGTAAATCACTAGTCCTGGAATTTACTGGTAGTTAGACATAGAAACTTAATGATGGATTTGTGGATAGCTGTTTGATTTCAGCTGAGCTAATGACACTGTATGCATTGTAATGTTTTTTGTCAATGTCCAGAATGTCTTGCTTTTGTTCTTATACACTGCAAAAACACTATTTCTAAGTAAATTAGGTAACCTTTAGATTAAAAATTTACTCTGAGTGTCTGACTATGCAAGGCTGTTTGATTTAATTCAAGTAAATACAACTTGGCCCTGCGATGGACTGGCGACCCGTCCAGGGTGTGCCCTGCCTTTCACCCGATGTCAGCTGGGATTGGCTCCAGCCCCCCGCGACCCTGTATGCAGGATAAGTGGTTAACGATGGATGGATGGATGGAAGTACAACTTGCCTTGTTTTGAATAGCAATTTAATCTTGTTTGGGGTACGTTTAGCTAGATAGGCCGACACTTATTTTAAGCTCTAAAGTTTCAACTGTTATTTTCTTTAGGTTTTAGTCCTTTAGATAGCATGGTTAACATGCTTGGTATGTTGTGTTGTTGGTAACAAGTACTAAACACTAAGTACTAAGTACTACGAATGCTGATTATTTTTTCAGGTATTTGGTCTTAAACCAAAGTACAAATGTAAATTTGACCTGATGATGGTGCTAGATTAAAAGTCAAAGGATCACCAAAGTCACTGAAATTCATTCTCTGGGGAACATTATTGTCTGTACAGAGCACCAGTAGTCAGGTGTACAGGTACTGTCTGTGTGAAGTTTTGTCATTACAAAGAAGAATAGCAATAATCTTATGTCGAGTAATGTTGTTATGTTTTCTGATAACTGGACATCCTGACTTATTATAAAAAATGTCATGTGAAAAATCAAAGCTTCATGGCAGCCAATGTGCCCATTCCTGAAATGTTTTCACTTAAATTTGCAGAGTTGTTTGTTCCTAAGTAGTTTGTATGATGCTTTGGCAATATTGTTGTTATACATTCATGCCAATAAAGCAATTGAATTAAATTGTTATAAGTCTCACTAACAATAAAAACCAAGTTTTTCCATGAACATATTTAACTGACTACCTCAACCCAGACAAGCAAACACACTTACACCCACATTCATACACTCACAGACTTGGCTAAGGTCTGTGTTATTATACCCAAAAGCCCTTGAGACAGACTCACCCTGTAAAACACACACATATTCTGATAGGATTGTGTAGTTGTAGCTTTCTGTTTGTTCATGTTGCTCATGTTGCTCATGGATTGGCCGTCTTAAACAGTGGACCAGCGCCTCTCCCCTATCAGTTCATGACTTCACAACCTAAAACTGGATGGAAAATAAATATTGCACTTTCCATGTACTTGGAAACTGAACTGTGCACTAGCAGTAACACAATCAACCACTACATCTCCATATATTTCTGAGGGGAATTTCTTAGACCTTTTTAGACAGCTTTTTGTGATTTTGTCAGACTTTAAACATGTTCAGCTTGACTACTGAGAAGTAAGGTGTGGATTGTCTCAACAGTAGAGGAAAACCTGACAGCAATAAATTGCGGGCTTGACTTTTCACCTCTGGATCACCCTGCGCACACTCAACTCATGGTTGGCTGCTCAATTTCCCAAAACAACACAAATTGCTTCAGTCTTCTACATGTGACTTCCAATCAGGGGAGAGACAGCAGAGTATGGGAAAGTTTGGGCTCATCATCAACTAAAAGGCCTCAAATATATTCTTCTCTCACCAGACCCATGTTGATCCTCCCTGCTTCAAGGTTCAACTGGGCCCCCTTGTGGATGAAAATGAACATTACACTAGTATGTAAGGGCATTCACTGGCTCCCCATCCACATTAGACTGAACTTTAAGGCAGCACTAATGACTTTTAAAATAATAAATAAGCTTGCCCACAATAAACAAGGATATTTATCTGTAAGTGCTGGCATGGCTTGTTTCAAATGAAATAATGGGCTGCTGTCGTTTTGTAGTTGTGTTTGGCATAGTCATTCTTCATGTCTTTATAGTCGTTTTGTGTTTATGCATAGTCATTTGATTGACTTTCCAACAAGTAAGGTGGTTGGGACAGGGGGCTCTCTCCATATGGCTCCTTACTCCTAAAGTTTCTTCTGTGTACATCCGTAAACACCGACAATAAAAACACATAATCATTTCTTCATATTGTTAATCCTCTCATGGGTGTGGATATATATGGCACATGTGGCAGCAGGGAGTGGTTGTTGGAAGGAGGAGACAGAGGATGACGATGGAGATGCTGCCTCAGTCATGCCGGTTATAAGGAATCTGGTTCAGGAATCAGGAAATGGGGTTTTTCACGTATATGATGCCTTGTTTCAAAGAACAACAGTGCCATTGCTAGTGTCTGCTCTTTCTAATCAATTTACATACCACTAAAATGTCATGTCATGTCACCGCACCCTGTTGCTGCTTTGTGGCTTGTTTCACACACATGGCTGTCTAAATGTGTAAATATGACTTATTTACACTCCCAACCTCTTTGTCAAGCCTCCATACAGTTCATGTTAAGTTTTGTTAAGTGGCTAGGCTAAGGTTTGGGTCACAGCAAGTCTTTCATACTAGGCTATTAAATATGTTATATCGTGGCAGTATTGTAGGTCTATTTATTAATATAATTCAATGAGATGAAAATCATTTTAACTCTGTCTATGTAACATCTGATTTTAATGTACAATCGCAGGCTCCTGCATTGGACATTTCTGTTTTCCAGTTGGTTTTGTCCCTCTATCCCCACAGGGTTTTATGGGACCGGTTTAGCCGGTTATGTGGGATTTCAGCAGAACAGGAATATCAAGGGAGAACTTGCCCAGGCTTTAGTGTTTGTGTTCCTTAAGGGGACGACCGCTCCGACCGGTTTTCTGGGGTGGAGAGATGAGAGGAGGAGGGTGTGGGGCGTTCTCCCTCACCTTATTCTTCTTTCTTTCTCTTCAATATCACGCTTTCACTCCCTCTGTCTCTGTATCACTCTGTCCATCTCTGAAGCCTGAGCGAGCAAAAACTGTGCCCCGTAGGGAACGGCTGAACGAGACCTCGGCTGTATGAGGTGAGTTACCATTGATTAAGGTCTGAGTTATTGCCTGAGGGCCAGAATAGATTGGCTGACAGGTGAGTAGAGTAAGTGCAGTTATGTGCGGCAAAGGACCGAGCTGACATACAGGAACTGATCATGGGCTAATCAGGGCTTCTTTCATTGTCATTATGAGAGTATATGTGTGTGGGTTTGCATGGGAGTTTTAGGGTCAGTAACCACACGTCTTCATATTCTTTTTATAAAAAGTACCTAGGCCTACCTTTACTGTACAGCATGAAGTCTATATGAATACATTTAAAGCTGCTTGTCAATACATGGAGGCCTTTAATTAAGCAAACACAATATGCAATAGAACAACTTGCAAAGCACTTTTATGTATGCTCAGGGTTCATACTGAGGACATTAGAGACAAGAGATGCATTTATTGCATTTATAAGCTTGTGTGTGTGTGTGTGTGTGTGTGTGTGTGTGTGTGTGTGTGTGTGTGTGTGTGTGTGTAGGGCGGAGCTCATAAGTTTAATAGACTGAAGGTTTGAATGGTGTCTGTTGCATTAATTGTTACCTGCATAAAAGCCATATTCTCTCAATACACATTTTTCTGTGGTTGCCACAGTTAAAATAAACAAGTGACAAGATAGTTTACTCAACATCACTCTCCAATGATGGTCATTTTATCAGTCAGACAAGCTGACAATGAGAAGTGCTGAAAGCAAAGCAGCTTGGACAATAGCTTCCGTTGGCTGCTCTGTTTGTTCAGAACAGCATCAGCTGATATTGTGTGACAGCGGTCAGTGAGGTCTGGACATCAAAACGTCCTCTCACAACTCTAGTCTGGTTTTGATCAAACAACAAACTCCCTTCGAATGGGGGTGTTTGAGAAAGGATTACATTAAAGCTGCAGCAGTGAGACATGCAGCCAGGCTGTTAACTACATGGCCTGTACCCCTCTATAGCTGAACTTGGTAATGGTTCAGTATGTGGGAAAAGTGTGATACATTAGTGTCAGTAGTGATAGGAATGGTTTTACTGGAAATATATTTAACTACACAATGACAGCTTTGTGTGTGCCTGTGTGTGTGTGTGTGTGTGTGTGTGTGTGTGTGTGAATAATAATCTGGAGACAGCAGAGCAGGCACATAAAGGCAGACAGGTCTTTTCTTGCTCTGCTGAGGTGATCTGAACAGCCACTTGCCTGACATATCCTGACATGTCGAGAGAGCCTCATCCACGCTGATCAAAATGCTAAATAGTGTTCAGTGCATGTATTTGCGCTTATAAGTGATCATGTGTGTATGTACGTGACACAGACAGCAGAGGTGACCCACATTAAGGATTTCAGTTTGCACCAAAAACGTCACCTGTCTGCACTTAAAGTGACTCTCTAGAGCACTTTAGACTTTAAATCCAGAAATGTTCCTATTATGTTAGTTTGGTAGAGCTGATACACAGTTTTAAATTGATCAATGTTATGCACATATATGAGTACACACACACACATGTGCAAGCTGTAAAAGCTGTGTTTCATGTACTTGAAACTCAAACTGCAGACTGCACTCCTAGACTTGGTAGGACCAGTCTAGCTGGTTTTAATCACCCTCAATATAACAACGAAATTTGCTCCCATATTTGTGTAACAGGAACAGCTTATGAAAGTACAATGTCACCAACGTGTGCAGTGCTGTACGTCCTCAGATGGACAACACAGTCCTCAGGCTATAAAGCCCAATCAATTAATTACTCTGACTGATTTACTATGTTTCCATCCCATTTGTAGTTTTAAGTTTTATTATTTAGTTAAAGCCAAGTTAAATACATCTAAATGGAAAATTCGGCTTTAATGCATTCAATACAATTTCATTCTATCAATCAAAAATGAAAACACCTCTATCTTTCTGCATCTCTCTTTTGTTTTATAGTCTGACTCAAGGTCAAAGGTGATTGTAATAGCAATGGAGTGCTTCAACAACCTACTCCTGAAACTACGGGAGGTCCATGAGCGAGAAGTGGAGGGTAAGTGGAAATCATGAAAACAGCAGCCAGTGGCAACAGAAAAAAGAGAGTTGTAAAGCAGCTTTTATATAAAGAGTATTCCAGAGAATTGAGTCCTCATAACCAAGTGTGTTGTGTTTTTGACGTCCAGGTTGGCAGATGAAAATGCAAGAGCTATCCAACAAAAAAGGCTGGTGAGTGGGTTCTTCACCATTGTCTCTAGACGATCATGTTTAGATAACACTGACAAGATATTCAAGTTTAGCGATACAAAACTATGGGAACCATGCTCATTTGCTCTGAAGTCTTTGTGGACCAGGCAGGCAGGCATGCACGTCCTGCACCTGGCCTTGAGTTGGTCTATGTCATGTTTAGCTTGTAAGTAAGCTCATGTTGTAACAAGTTATTCAGTCTGACACTGAGTCACCCAAATTTTGTTTCGTTTCTCCTTCAAACTCGTGAAAAACAATTTACAGAGAAGTGGGATCATGTTAGGTTCTCTACAACTGGAAGATAATTCAAGAAAGTATTTGACATTGTTCCGCTAAATCTGTCTCAATATCTGATTAATAATAAGAGGGACGATCTAAATATATGGTGTCATATCCGTCAGTCAAAATATCCAATCCCAGATAACACTATATTTTCATCTTCAGCACAACAGTTGCTAATTATATGTACTAATACAAGCCTGACCAATACTGTGTTTTTAATATTTAAGTGTTATTGCATTTATTTATTTTCCCCAAGGGGACATAAGCCAGGTGACATTATCATTACCGTTGTGTGAGGCTTTGTGGTACTTTGAGCTAAAAGCTGAAGTCAACATGCTAACATGCCCATAACATCCTTACAATGACAATTCTCACATGCTGATGTTTAGCAAGTATAGGGCCACTACTGATTATGTTCACTATCTTCTCCCTTTTCATTTTCCCAAGTAACAATAAAACACAAAGTACAACCGGCGATGTATTAAAAGAGCTCTGTTGCAGTGTAATATTCACCTCAGTCATGCTAAATAGAAGTTCTGAATGTCTCATAATGGCTGTGGTAACTCATAATGCCTTGTTCTTGGGTTTTGTATTTGTTTGTTTTCAGCATGGGCTTTACTTTGCTTATAGAATGTCTTGAGGAAAGTAAGTGCCTTGACTCAAGTACTATACTTAAGTAAAATTTTGAGGTACTTGAACCTTACTTTCAGTAGTGGCCATAGTAAGTTGTACTTTTCATACAAAATATATAATCAGTTTATAAAACAGAATGCGTTGTTATAGAGCAATAACCAACAACAAAATTAAAGTACAGCTTACATGCTCAAGCATAAATAATAATGATCCGATAATACAGTGATTTAACACTGACAGGGGCCATTCTGCATAATGACTACTTTTTCTCCTTTCTCATTTAAAAAACAAAATAAATAAATACTAGTGTATATTTATTTAAGTAGCATTCTGAATGCAGGAGTTTTTTATAGAGTGTAATTGATAGTTTCACTTACATAAATTAATTGATTACCTCTTCCACTGCTGGTAAAGAGGAGTGTAATAGTGGAGGCTGATATGGAAATGTAGCAACAGCCTTGAAACTAAAAGGAAATACATCTGAAGCAGCCTTTTGTAGTGAGTGGAAACCATCTGTGCCTGATACACTGCCTGTTCTTTAGAAATTATCGTTCCAGACATGTTATTCTGTATCTCACTGATCGTAGAAAGACTGCACTGCAATCTGAGTGGCATCATGTTTTGACAGTAGCCTAATTCTTGTTTGGTGTGTGTGCATGTAAAAAGTGACACAAAGCGAATGGAGGAACTGTTCACCAAAAACCAGCAGATGAAAGAACAGCAGAGATTACTCACAGAAAACATCAAGACACTGGAAAACAGGTATTGGTGTACATCCTGCTGTTGTTTTGCATTAAGATTTTGATGTGTGTGTGTGTGTGTGTGTGTGTGTGTGTGTGTGTGTGTGTGTGTTTAAGGTAAACGATATGCATATCTTGCATCTTGCAGTAATGCCATGTCACATTCTTTACATACTGCATACCCAGTGAAGAATTTGAACTAGTCAGACTTTGGTGACTTCTTGTCATTTTGTATCAAAAAAGACACTGTGGCAATGCCATAAATCAAGATTGCTACATTTAAAAAAAAAAAAAAAAAAGTCAATTCAATTCAATTCAATTTTATTTATATAGCGCCAATTCATAACAAACGATATCTCATCGCACGTGTCATATAGAGCAGGTCTAGACCTTACTCTTTTTAATCTGATTAACAGAGTCATCAAAATAATTTTAAAGATGTTCAGATAACATCAACATTCTACACATGGGGGCTTTAATGAATTATGCTCCGATACAATAACTACTTAAAATGTTGACAATGTGTCATAACGTCTCCTGAGGACCACGTCAGTGTGCTCCCCAAGGAGATGACTTGGGAATTAAAGCTCAAGCTTACATTATTCAGTGGCCAAAAGTGGCAATTATTGGACAATGCGGAAAGCTGAAACGTATGAAAAGAATAGAAGACTAATGGATTGTACAGTTGTGTTTAACTACAGTGGGTGATGCATTTTGAAGCTGAACATTAAGATTGTGAATGTTGCAGTGTTTACAGATCAGTCTAGTTATCAGGTGTGTTTCTGATGTTGTATGTTTTTGTGCTGCTTGTGTAGGCTGAGGGCGGGGCTGTGCGACAGATGTACAGTAACTCAGGAGGTAGCCAAGAGAAGACAACAGGAATTTGAGGCCTCACAGATACAGAGCCTCCAGCACATCTCTCTACTGGGTATTCTGTTTATGTCTGTCTTTGTCAGTCTTCCATCCTTACTAACACATTTAGGTTTTAATTTAATGTCCCATCTCTTCTTTCCCTTGTGGCATTTGTTGTTTGCTAAAGACAACTGTGTTACAGCTATAGCTTGTGGTCTGTTTTGTAGCAGGAGAGATGAACAACCTGAAAAAGGAAAACAAGAGACTAAGAGATGAGATCAGGAATATAAGAGCAACACTCAAGTGAGTATACAGTGTTTGATGAATGTTTTAGGATAACTTCTATATCTATCTAGCTACCTGGAGGATACCTCCTTTTTCTTACTTTTAATGATCATTCTTAGCAGAGGTCACAGTGAACACTCCTTCAAAAGAAACACCACCACAGACGTCAAACCAAACAGCACCACTGACCTTTCCCATTCTTCTGGACCTGTGGCCCTGGTCACTGCAGCAACCAACAGGGCCAGCCACCAGCCAGCAGATGGCACTGTTGAAGTAAAATCTGAGGCAGACCAAAGAGCTGAAGGTGAGGATGAAGGATGAGAATGAGCTGGGAAGAGTAAAAGTTTTTGCTTGTTTGTTTGTTGATTATTATGCTCTCATCCTTGCCTAAGTTCAGTGCAGTTTTTATGTTTCTGATCAAACAGAAGCTGAACAAAGACAATTGAGAGGGATGAACAGAAGTCACTTTGTAAGTTTCTAAATCAGATCACTCTCATTTGCATAAACATTTACATGCAGTTTTACTCTGGTGCATGTTCATGTGAAAGAAATAGTTTTGGGAAATACTCTTTCTTGCTGACAGTTAGATAAGAAGATTGACGCCACGCTCATTTCTGTGTGTTCAATATGAAGCTGTAGTCAGGAGACAGGGTATCATAAAGTGGAAACTGGGAAAAAGCTAGCCTGGCTCTGTCCAAAGGTTACAAAAAAACATCTGCCTACTATCACTAACTGACACATTATATCTCATTTTTGTTTAATCTTTAAGAAGTGTAAAAACTATTTAAGTTCCTTTGGACAAAACCAGTTCACTTGTTTCCAGTCTTTATGCTTAACCCTCTTCTGGCTGTAGTGTCATATTTAGTGTACACAGACTAGAGTGTGCGATCTTCTACTCTGACTCTCTAAAAGAAAACTGTATTTTTTCCCCAAAACCTTAAACTACATGTGGTCGCAATTTTGCTTTCTCCCCTTTTCCACTCTCACAGGAGTCATACAGGCAACTTTCACTCTCGGCTCAAGCATCACCATCCTGGAAGACAGAGCATAGTGTAGCACGTGTTGGAGAGAGGAGGTGAGACAGAGGGATATAAGAAAATAGCAAAAAAATGGCTGTTGTGTCACTATATGAACATGTGTAAGTAAAAGTCAAATCAGAGACAGGGTGCCAAAGTTTAAACAGCAAATCTGAAATAATTGTCAAAACTCAGCATTCAGCTTCAATCTGTCACATTAAACACATTACTGTAATGTGGCGCTACTGTCCAACACTGTGGCCTAATAACCTTTTTTAAGCTCTCTTTTCTGTCTGGTTTCTGTTTCTCAAAACATAGAGCTCAGAGTATTGAAGGACTGAACCAGCGATCCTCTGTCTCTCCTCAAGAAGTGAACCATAACAGACATGTGCTCCACCCTACTGTCCCCTGCCGTCCTCAACCTATCATGAGCAGCCCTGTCACTCTCCCCTGGCCCTTATCTGAATCTCCCGACTGGGCTGCAGGCACCAGCATGGCGGTGCCACCAAACCCGCCACACTTTCCCAACCTTGTCCCAACTAGCCAACATGCCAGTCCCGGAAGGCAGGTTTTTGGGTCTTCCTGGCACAAGCAGAGCACCCACCAGCCTCCTGCCAGAGAGCCAACTGTGTTATTCAGGTTGAGGAGTCTGTCAGAGCATGTGGAGAGTCAAACTAAGTCCCAGGAGAAAAAAGAACTCCCACCATCCAAGGAGAAGAGTGTTACTGGGGACGTGTTTAGAGAGACTTGCGAGGTCCCTCTGGACCTATCGGAACGAGGAAAGTCCAAACCCAGCCAAACACCAAGAGATGATTCGCCCATAGCCTTACAAGGTGACGAGAGAGCACAGAAGAGCCCTGACAAGGATGTGAAGACAAATCCACCTGCACACGGACCAGTATCATCACCTACTCCTGTCGTCTCTCCCTCATCCTCCTCTACGCAACAAGTAGAAGAGCCTACCAGTGACCACAACCACAAGGTAATTTTAGGCCTTTTAGCAACAACATTAAAAGACATGGGGGCTCAGGTGAAGAGGGGTCAAACAGGAGTCATGGTATGATGGTCTTGTCACAGCAGGTAAAAGAGGTCAAAGAGCAGGAGCAGAAAGAGGAGGTGAATGGAAAGACAGACCAAAACAACAGGAAGAAGGTGCCTGTCCTCACTATATCATTACGTCCAGGTAAGGAGCTTGGATTCATGTGTATCTGTTTGTGTACGTATATTTACTGTGCGCAGGTGAATAATACTTACTCGATTTATGTTTTTGTAACAGTAGTAGTGCTGGAGACTCTGAATTCTGCTCTGAAGATGCATGAATCCTTACCATCAAATGGCAAGGTAAGGCAAGTCAATCCAACAATGCACATACAGTAGAGGATGTGTTGGCATATATTATTTTCTCATTCGATTTCACGGTTTTCATGTGAAAATATCAGCTCTTTCTAGGTTATTTCCGCTAGAAGTAAAGGTTTCTTGCTTTTGTGCTTCCTCATCACAGTCATCGTCACCAGCAGCTGAGCCAGAAAGCAACTCTGACGAGCAGGACAAGGATGTGAGTGTGTCAGGACAAGAAAGCGTCCAGGGCTGCAAGAGGAAGAGGGCATCTGTGGAGACAGAAACTGACAGAGACTCGGACATAAACAGTAGGTATCACTTCACATGGTCTAGTCCTAGTCCTAATTTTGTCTTTCTTCCCTTCTTCCTTTCTTTCTTTCCCTCTTGAGTATGGTCTTCAAATCAAATCACATTTCCAAAGCTTTATGAATTAATGTGAATAATCCACATTCATTTCACTTCGGTTCTGTGGACACACATGATATTAAAGGGATAGTTCAACATTTTGGAAAAAAAAAATATGTTTGTTTGTTTGCTTTCTTGCAGAGATTTAGATAGTAAAATCTGTGAAAATGAAGCCACAGCCAGCAGCTGGTTAGCTTAGCGTTCCATAAAAACTGGCAAGCTGCTAGCCTTGCTTTAGTTTTGGTTTTACAGGAGATTTTGCGCTCCAGGAAGTCACTGCACCCAGCCAAATATAGTCCTGCACGTAACCTAAACTCTAAAAACCACAAATGTGTCCATTGATAGACTTTACAGGTGCTGGTAGGCATATTGTGTTATCTTTGGACAGTGGCAGGTTAGCTGTTTCCACCTGTTTCTAGTGTTTATGCTAAGCTAAGCTAACCGTCTCCTGGCTATTACTTATGCTGCCTTAATGTCATATTAAAGTTATCGTAATTTTCGGTTTCTGAGTTGTAAATAGTTTTCACGTCAACATCCAAGTCGTAATTATGACTGAAAAACTTTCCTTAAAGCTCCTGAAAACCATGTATGGCTGCCTCACATTGGCCACAATCCGTTGTTCAAAGTAATTAAACCCAAATTCAATGAATATGGTGCTATATTGTAAATTCACAATGTGGGATGAGGATGGGGCAGTGGCTAACACACATGCCTTTGGTGGGAGAGAGCAGCGTTCAATTTCCCACTGTGACACATCCACCAATGTGTCCCTTAGCAAGACCCCTAGTTGCTCCAGAGGTGTGACATGTATACCTCTGGCATGTATAGCAAATGTAAGTTACTTTGACTAAAAGTATCAGCTAAACGAATAAGTGTAATGTAATTTTAACCCTCAACCAACTCTGTAATCTTGACATTGACACTTGCAAGTTGGAAATTTGTTATGCATCTTTCTCATCCCAACCATCCATCCCATGTGACGTGAATGTTGAATTTATATTTAGCATATAGATACAAGGGTGGTATTCTCCTTCTCCAGATGAATGTTATGATTATTTGATCTCAACTCTTAAGTTCAACCAGTTCTTTCAAGTTCCTTAAATCAGGTGAATGTTGAATTGTATAATTATTTTAAAAGGACCTGGTCTTGGAAATTACTTCTGCTCAACTGATGTGGTCTCAGCTATTGTTTGTCTAACTACTTCTTTCTGTTCAGACTTTATTTATACATGTACAAAAGTAACCAATCACAAAATCTCTCTTTTTCTGGGCACTTTTACTACCTCACCAAAAGGAACTGTTTGGAACAATGTCCTTTTTTCCTCACAGACATCCAGCAGGAGAGGAAGATCAAGATCACAGTGATATCTGAGAAGAAGAGCCCGAGCTAAAGAGCATGATAAAACATTGACTTGGTAATCTCAATTAAACCTGCATCAAGTGATTGCAGTAAAACAAGCTGTAAATGCAACATTTACACCATCACCTCGTGTGTTGTTTACTAATCCCAATTTTCAATTCTACCAAATTCAAATTCTACCCAGTGTAAGAACCACTTGAGCTGAACTAGAGATTACCATTGGGACAACTAAAATATAGCAAAACAAAAAATAAACGCCTAAAATAATAATTTCTCTGGAGCAAGAGGCTTGTATCTACAAAAACGTTTTTAAGACAGTTATAGCACAGTTATAGCCTTATCTTAATTTCCATCAATATCAATAAACAGTGACAACATTTATTTTGAGATGGTAGTCGATTACAGCAAGCAAACAAGGCCATCATTGAGAGTCTCTATTGACATCTGCATTGCATGTAATGTGTGGTATCTTCCTCTATTTAGCTTGGGTAGGCAATTTATTTCAGAAGCATTTTTGTTTTATTTGTTGAAATTGTCTTTACATTTTGACAGCAATCAATAAATCAAATGCTCCGACACAAAAATGAAAAACGGTATCTGTGGCTGCTGCCACATTTCATTTGGACCTGTTCTGTGCATAAAAATGTGTTTGGGGGAGTGGCTTTGGATGGAGGTCTGAGGAAGGGCTGGAATATTTTTCAGTTGGATATTTTCAAAATCTAGCCGTCTGCTATATCGGTTGCTGTTTAAATGCTACACACGGATCATTTAAAATGCATGGCAATTCAGATAAGATAAGGCTGTTATTGTAGTTCCTAAAAACTTTTTTGTTAATACAAGCCTCTCGCTCCAGAGAAGTTAATATTTTTAGGCATTTATGTTTAGATCTGCTATATTTTAGTTGTCCCAAAGGTAATCTCTTGTTCGGCTCTAGTGGTTCTTACACTGGGGAGGAAGATTTTCAGAGGCTGATAATTCTGCAACTTCTCTTTTCATGTTTTTTTACATGAACAGTAATATTCCATTAAGTCAGTATATAAGAAGGAACATGTGACCAGTGCTTTATGTCATGTAAACATCATATTCTATTGATTGTTGGGATTAGTAAACAACATATATTTAATTTCCATGGAGTCGCTAAATCCAAAATAACAATTATAAAAACTGAATAAAACATTTTCAAATGCCAGTACTCAAATAAAACCTGAACCTTCACTTGGTGAATATCAGCGTGCATGTAAACACACATTTACTTTTTGTTTAGCACTTAGGCAGTTAGAACTGAGTCACAGTCAAGTCACACATTTTTGCAACACATAGCAGCCCATTTTCACAAGGTACAACTCAGGCAGCCACCCTGAATATGACCAACTGATGACAAGTGCAATAAATGGAGGCTTTGTCATAGAAAATTTAGTTACGTAGTTAAATAAATGATCAGATTCAAATAATGGTGTGACCTATGTTCATTCTCCTCTCAGCTGTTGATTTGTCAAAACTCAAAATCACCACAACTATTGCCAATTCAGTACCATTGCTAGTGTCATCCCTCTGCAGACACAGTACCAGCGTAGCCACTCCCCCTTTCTGAAACCTTAAATAACCATCCAATCAAATGAAAAATTGTGAAGACCTTTTCTTTACCTTGTCTTAACAGACAAACAAAGCAAACCAAACAGTGTTTGTGTTTTACCTGCCAATGCCTAAAACTGTAATCTTCCTTTGCAGTATCCCGCAACATTGTATTTTCATATAACATAATTATTTCACTTTCCTGGCATTGCTGTCACTGCCTGGCTATTTCTGCCACAGAGCAACCCCCCACCCTGTTGTAAGTGACCAACAAAGAGAAAAATAGAGAAAAACATGTTCCGTTTCCTCTTTTTCATTTTCAGAATGCACATATTTTGCAAGTATTAACTTTCCACTCACAGCTGTGACAGCTTGTGGTAAGCCGGATGGAAGGAGGCGATAAGTGTCAGTTAAAGAACCTATACTTTTGTCATAATCATTGTGTCCATTTTGTGTAAATACATAAAAAAAAAATTAATGGCAGGATCAGCCGATACATAGTGAAAATATGAGTTTGTTGTTATTATTCCTTCTTTTCTTTTTTCGGAAGCATACACTTTTTATTATCCTGTGTGTAAAAAACTGTGCAATCCTGATGCTGTTATATTGATTTCTGCTGTTTCTATCATGTCTCTCTAATGCCATTAGAGTCCATTAGGTACAGTACTTGCTCAATGGTCAGTGGACTAAATAGCCTGTCCCTGCCATTCGCATCTCTCTGTTAATTAAAATGTGATCGACTGTGCCACTGTAAGTGTACTATTGCGCTTTGACTTTTACAGTATGCGAATCTATCAGGTTAAATTATGTGTTGTGTTGTGGTCTAAACAGATATTTTGTTTATTTTGAATGATATAACGCACACTCTTGTTGAATGCATGTCTTATGATGCTTAAGAAAATTTCCGTTTTTGAATGTTGCTTCTGTAGTTCCTACTGTATATGGTCTAGCTCTTATATTTCTGACCGTAACAAATTTACCACACAACTCTTTTACATATTGGGTGAAAAATCTTCAGTGAAAGTTTTCTCGGAAATACAAATAACATCATGTCTGAAGTTTTGTTCAAGATATTATGCAAAACAGTTGTGGTGTGATGATGGGATGTAGAAACCAGAGGAAACTAGCAAACGTTTGTCATGTAGTAGTGTGTAAGTATCTAAGTATTATCAGCGAAATGTACTTAAAGTATCAAAAATAAAAGTACTTATTATGCATTAAAATAGTTCCTGCCAGTGTTTTACTATTATATCTTATGTTTCTGCCTTAATATCACTGCAGCGTTAATGTATATGTTGCATTTTACTGCTGTAGGTGTTTACAGTTAATATCATTTTAACTACTTTGTATACTGTTGGAGGTTATTTTGCAGAAATACATCATATTCAATACAATCATCATATGTTTGTAACATCTCTGTGAGAACCACTATCTAGTAGTAGTAAAATAATTTTCTTAACCCACAAATAAACACTTTCACCTAAAGTTTACCACAAATTTGGAAATACACATTCACTGGAGAGGAAGGGTATAAAATATTGTAATCTGAAAAGTAAGTGGTATTCTTGTTGTCCACAGTCTTAATGGGATAATCTGAGGTGCCAAATGCATTGCAGATGTTTTTTTTTTTCTTCTTTGGGTTTGGGAAGGTTTTCCTTTCAACATTTCAAATCATATACGTAGTTAAAGTCTAAGGGAGGTCACTGAAGTCACTATTAAAGTAAAAAGCTGAGTTGCAAGTCTTTTTAGCCATGCTAGCAGTGTGCCTTCAGGAACAGCAATGTCCATCTCTCAGTCACCACTTTAGTCCAGACTGAAATATCTCAACTCAACTGTTGAATGTATTGCCATTAAACCTTGAAAAGACATTCATGTTAGCATGTTAAATGCTAAAGATGCTAAACTAACACTGGTGAACACTGTTAACATCATTACATCATACTAAAAATTTACATGTTGTCATCCCAGTTGCCATTTCTTTATATAGGTTTAGACAAGGAAAACAGAAACAGGAATCTTATTGAGTTATTCTTTTTGGCATAAAGCATCACAGACTGAGCAGGTCAGTGAATGTTATGTACACCTGTCAGTAGATTTGTATGTAGTCTGTTGCCTACGTGAGCTGTAATCCCCCATAATTACATTTTATATCTGTGGATCTTCACCCTGATAAATGAGGAATTCATTTCCCCCTGAAGTTTGAATATAGTTACAAACTGAGGCCTGGTAGCCAGAGTAAAAGGCTCATTGTGCCTGCACCCACACCAGGCGATGTCAGGTCATCTGCAGCTGTGAATAGCTGCTAAACACCAATTCTTTCTCTTTATCCCTCGGTTTTTATCCTGGTTTATCCTTCACCAATGTTTAAACTCTTCCTTTCTACCTTTCTAGTTTTTTTTCTAGTTTTTTTCCCAATCTCATTCATTTCATTTCATCCTCCCTCTGTCCATCATTGCGGTCTGGGTTTCAGAGGAAACTTGGTTTCTAATCCTGAGTGTTGATTAAGGATTAAAGCTGGAGAGCAGGGAGCTTTCTCTGGTGTGTTATTGCCAAGCTGCTGTTGTGGCCTTGGGGCTGAACCACCCACGCCTCCCCTGTGCTGCCTGCCAGCCTCCGCCCAAGAGGATGCACTGAGCATGATAGCTGACATTTGAATACATGGTAGAGGTGTCCTGCACACCATGCAAATGTGTCCCTCACATCTGTCCACCCATCCATGGCATCCATCCATTTATCCATTCTTCCCTCTATCCATCTTCATGATACCAGCAGAGACTAAATTAGGCTTCACAGTTGAATGTTTTGGCACACATGTTCTGGATTAGGGAAGAAATGTCCCTTACATATTTATAACATCCAATGATTTAATGCAACAGTAGACAAAAAAGTAGGTGACTATGACCTCCAGACAGTGAGTCTTTATTTTTTATTTTGCGTTTTGACGCACAGACAGCTTAATTTCTCTATTCTATCAAAGTAGCATATCACCGAAGAAGCAGCTGAAAAAAAGCGAGTGCCTGCTATTTCAGCCAGTGAACACGAGTACGATCGATGTGAGCTTGTTCCTCTTTTCACCAACTCAGTGAGATCAAACTTCCTCGTACAAGTCCAGTGCGCTACGCTCTGCCACCCCGTCCGCATCTGCAATCTATCCCAAAATAAAAAGCGACCGAAAAGGGATGGAACCTACATAAAATGAGGAATATTCTTTGAACGGTCACCCGAATCTAGAAGAACATATACAACTACAGAAGGAAAAACCGAAGTGATTGGTTGAAGCGCGGTAAGTGTCCTCTTGAGCTGTGTTTGCTAGTGTGGTAAGGAAGCAGCCAAACCGTCTGAAAGATGCCTGTTAGAAAAGATGATGGGCTGTGAATGTATTGACTCTGACACATTTAGGGAAGAATATGAAAGTTATGCTTTGACAAAGTTTTAAACAAGGATCCTCAGTTCCAAAAAGAGGAACTTCAAGGTATTTGAGTTGAAACAACCACCACCTAGAGAAGTAACTGTCCACAAATAATATGGTAACTGTGCGAAAGTGGTCAAATGTTGAACACAATTTTATTACAGTGCTGCTCGCATTTATTTAATAATTTTATACGCATTTCCTTAACTTTAGTAAGTGCTTTAACTCTGTGTGTGTGTGTGTGTGTGTGTGTGTGTGTGTGTGTGTGTGTGTGCATGCTTGCGTGTGTCAGTTATTTTTAGACTGTCCATCTAGACTTAACCAGAAACCAGAAACCAGATTAGTTTCTGTTCTGTTCTGTGTCCTTCCATTTACTTTTATTTTTGAAGTTGAAAATCATAGACAGCACCCAAAAATGATAAAAAAAAAAAAAGATCTGCTGTAATGTCTAGACTGTAATGATATACCAGAAGTGCAATGACTTCTGTTATGAATTGGCGTATCTATACATGTTGAATTGAACTTAATTGAACTGTTAATACACCTTATGTGTATGAAGTGTTTGTGCTCTTAATAGTCCATTAAGAGAATAGTTTTTTGGACTCTTACCAAGAAACCTTTCCTGAAGGAAATATTAGTGTGTTATGTACACTGAAGAAATGCCGATATTACATCATACTGGTGGTCATTGTTAAATTCCCCATCTAGCATCTATCTTGGATTAGTACTGCAGCAGACACACCATCCTTCTTTTTTTCCACGAAATGTTGTAAACAGAAAAGTAAAGGGTTATTACCCAGAATTTTCAAATGACACAAGTCACACATTCACAGTCCTGGTTGGTTGCTCAAGCGTTTCTTAGTTTGACAAAGAAGCAGAATGTTGAGTGAATCAAAACCAACTTCCTTAATGAAAAACCAAACTCTGCAAGAATACGTACAATAAAAATGTTTTCAGATGTCTTGTTTTGTGTAACAAACAGTCCAAAACTCAAAGATATTCAATTTACAATTTTTTAAAAAACAGAGAAATGCAGCAAATCCTCACAGTTTGAGACATTTAAAGCTTGATGATTGACATAAATGTTTAATCAACTACCAGAATAGTTGCATATAAATTCTCTGTTGATCAATTCATTGTTTCAGCTCTGATCTTTGATTGTTGTCATGCAGATTTCATATAACCGACATTATGTTTGGCACATGCAATATGTACGTACGAACTATACATACTATATACTTTACTATGCCAAACTATAAATAAGTTTTAAAATATACAAACATTGTATAATGTTAATATACAAAGTTTGTACATTTTAGATATCAGTCTCAGCTTGTATATATGGCCTGTCTCCAAAGTGTCATGTCATGCAGTATATGTTGTACAAAGACACCTGAGCATGCTGAGATGGAAGTAACTTGTGAGTACACAATGCAAGTGGCAAGTAGTACCTTGGGGCTGTGAGAACATATTCCTTCTTTCTTCCTCTCGTCTAATGTGAGTAATGTAATCTGTCTAATGTCCTGTTGGTTGCGTGCCAGGCTGGCAGGTGATGTTGTTATGGCCTGAGGCAGTCCCAAACAGGTACACACACAGCCTGGCAGCTTTTCACAGCCCTAAAAAACTGTGGAAAAGATCATGCCTCACAACAGAACACACATTAATTATTCCTGTCTTCTCTCCTGGCTCGTGTGTTCCTGTGGCAAACTAGTTTGTTGGAAGGATAATACATGGGATCTATCATAAACAAGGCCATAATGCATTTGAGACATTCTGTTGAACTGCCAGTCAAGGACTGAACTAGCCGGGTACCTGCTCACTGCGTGGACAGGTGTAAGGTGCAGATAGACATAGTGAGCAACCAGTGCAAGTAGAATAAAGATGAGTCTATAATGCTTAAATGGATGTTTAGACATGTTTGTGCCCGATTGTTATAATGTGAGCTGATATCAACAAGGCATCAATACACACTTTATCCACATGCCTGAAAGCCCGTGCTTGTCTCTCTTAAGGTCATGTAGATTTATGACCACCCAACCTGATGTTTGCAGTGGTTCACATTTGCATGGTGTGATATAATTTGACCATCCCGAACAAGGCTTTACATAAATGCCAACTTTAGAGTTACAGTATGATAGGAGGGACGTAAGTGTTATTTTTTTGATTGATATTTTGCAATGGTGGAGAGGTACTTGAATATTTTGGGCTAAACTCTTAACAATCATGATACTATGTAAATGAAGTTCTTAAGTTGAAGTCTTCATATTTTTACAATATGATTGCAATTTGAGCTTGTGATCAAGGGGTTAGACGCAAACTTTTATCAACATTTAATTCTAAAAAAAAATGGTGTCTAATGTTAACAATCTTTAGATGCTGTGTAACTGACATTACTAAGTATGTTTGTCAACTTTATAGCTTTTTTTCCACTTGTGGGCCTATTAGAATATATTTTAGCATGTGACAGATACCATATTCTTTTCTTTTTGGGATCAAAGCATTTGATGTATTGCTGTCAGGATGTAAAGAGAATTTCACAAGTATAAATACATTAAACAGAAAGTGTTTCGGAAATAAATTGCCTACCCCATCTTTAAGAGTATCTTTGCAAATGAAGGCAAATGAATTAATTAATTACCTGTGACCACTTTGCTGCTGTTAGCAGATATAACACGGTCTTGCTTTTGGCTTCACTTTCCTCCTGAGTTAAATTAACATGTTATCGCTTGTCCTGTGGGTTGCCAGGCGATAATCTGAGACTCCAGCAAGTCACTGCCATTGGCCAAGCAATAGTCACACATAAAACTGCGTTGTTATCACATAGACTAAACAAAAAATGGATTAAGTGTTATGTTGTAGAGATGCTGGTATGTACATTTTGTTGACTTTGGACACCTCCAGGCTAGCTGTTTCCTTCTGTTTCCAGTCTTTGTGCTTAGCTAAAGTAACTGGCCTTGTATTTAGACATGAGTCGCATCATTATTCTATGATCTGAATTTATACAAGACACAGTTCATTCTGTCCCAACAAGAGATTTGGGATTTCCTCCATTTTCCGTCTTTCTTTTGACATTGTTGTGAAATGTGATTCAACAGACTGATGGTAAAGAGCAAGAGGCAAGAAAACACATCACCATTATTCATGTGGGTCCTACTGATGAAAAGTCTATTTTTAGGGATGATGTGGTCTGGACCGTAAGCACAAAAGCACAGAACTGAAAGTGCCAGCGTGGTCAAGACATAAACAATTTCTCATAGATTTATCTTTCATATCCCCAACAAAGGGGGGGTGAAGCTAAAGGTGGCATACAAATATTAATTTACCAAGTTAGCATCTAAGTTTTATCATTTAGGTCTAATATGCAAAACACTTTTTGTGAAACTTCAGCTGTAGATAATAAAGCCACTCATCATCATGAAGATGACACAAACTATTGCAATGTGAGCAGCAGCAGTAAAAGAGCAGCATCATTCTGTGCTGGTGGTGTTGAGCCCAGAAGAGACCCATATTTTACCACCGCTCCTCATGTTAATTTACCCACCAGCTGATAAGCAAGAAAAAGGTGTGACAAGCTGCGTATTATTCATGACTGTCTGATTATATGTTCATGTTTCCACTTTGGTCTTTTACTGTACCCTTAGAAGAGAGCTGGAGGTGTGAGAATTGCCTAGTTCAAGGTTTCAGTTATCTTAGTTGAGTAGCAGGAGGGATATGTGCAGAGCAGTGGGTTACACTTAAAGGACAGATGTTCTACGGTCTTGCCTCGGTCATATGCCTGTGGGTGTGAGAGAACTCATGAAAATAGGTGCAGTGTGGCATTTAATTGTGCTGACCTACTGTATGCAGGTGAATTCTGAAAACAGGTTTATGTCATGGAACATGTTGCTACCTGCCCACAAATATGTCACTACGGAAGTTTTTAACTCATCTGAACTGTTGAAGTTTGACAATTTGTGAAACTTCTTCCTGGGTGTTCGATGACAAGATTGATGCCGCTCACATGTCAGTATGCTGAATATGAAGCTAGGGCCAGCAAGCTATTAGCTTAGCACGAAGTGTAGAAGCAGGAGGAAACAGCTGGCCTGGCTCTGTCCAGTGGTTAATAAATCAGCCTACCAGCACGTGTAACATGTTTTAGTTATTTATTTAATCCATACAGTCAGCTGGGATTGGTTCCAGCCCCCCGCAACCCTGTACACAGGATAAGCGGTTGATGATGGATGGATGGATGGAAGAACAATTAGTTGTAGAGGTTAAATGCTGAAACTATTTCTTTGTGGGAGCAGTGATTTCCTGTAGTGTCGTCAAAGCTTTAGCAATGCTGTTTAGTGGATTTATGGACCGAGCCAGGTTTCCCACTGATTCCAGTTAAGCTTACTGTCTGTTGGCTCTAGCTTTAATTTAGCACACAGACATATAAGCAGTGTCATCTAACTCTCTGCAAAAAGCTAATACGTTTATTTCCTCACTTATGTCATCAGCAAAATGATATTATTATAAAGTTAAGGGTTGTCAGTACTGCTAGTACCAACATCCCAGTCTGAAGCTTTATGAAGTTTTCATGTGCATTCAGCTTTTGTTTTGGTCTTAAGCTTTTGTTTTGGTCTTAATGACCCAATGGATGTTTGTTAAAGCATTTGTTGTCCTGTTTGTACCAAGTGCTGCCTGTGTAATTTGCTCTACAGGAACTGATGAATGACAGCTGCATTTTTACAAAGCCAAACTAGGGCAATGTGTAACTGTAACTCATCTCAACTGTATTCTCATCTTGACCTCCGTTTTGTAATAAAACAAAAAAAACAAAAAAATGATGATATTGGTTTTAAATAGAAGTCAAAACTGTCCAAAATGAAACCCAACCCTTCTTTGATTAGACATCTAAAGAGGAACAATGTTTGGAACAGAGACGAAAAAGGAACCAAATACGTTAACATCACATATTTTGACCTCAAGAATACCAGAACTTCCTGTGTCTAGATGAAACATTTTCCATTGCTTACCACTGTACAGGGCAGTATGGTAATTGTTACGGTATAGACTGTACTGTTGATATATGATGTAGAACGGATCAAGATATGTTCACAACATTTTGTTAGTGTTGGTGTATCTGCTTAGGATATCAGAGTCCTCATTTTTGGTAGTTTTGACCACTAAAATCATAGTAGATCTGTTTGCATGGCAACAGGGCGCTACTATGTAGTGCTCATAATACACATTACTTAATTTGTTCAGCGCAATAATCTAGACTATAACTCTAATCTATAACTCTTGTCTCCGTTCTTTCCTCTCCATTTGTGTATGTGAGCTTAATCTGCCATCACAGACTGCCTCTTTGTTCTCATGCCTGTTAAACCTCTTTCCATATAACTGAATACACATTTGCATGTGGAGACACACATGCAGATAAGGTATGATGCAAAAAGAAAACAAAGAAGAAGAAGAAATACTTTATTTATCCCACATGGGGAAATTCAGTGTTTTTTCATTCTGTTGTCAGGTCTGAAATACACACACGTACATGTACAAACACAACACAAACACACGGAGAAATGACTGATGTTACAGATAAATAAGGGGACTCGTGTGGACATATTTTTATTGCCGCATTAGATAGATAGGCCTTGCGGTGTTCATTTTTGGAAGATTGTAATAACACTAACTAATACATACAAATAAAAACAGTATTGCAGCTGTTGTAAAAACAATTAAGTCAGAATAAGGACCAGTAAACTGACTGTGTAAGCTATAAGGCATTTTTGTCTTCTCAGTCTTCCCCGTGTAGTGAAGAACCTCTAACAAGATCATGTGATGTGTCATTTTCACGCCTTCTTCCCCAGTAATAGAGGCATTTTAAGCACATTTACAGTAACAGCCAGCTGAGACAGATAATGTCTCACCTCTGTGTTACATAGATTAGCATGTGTCACAGAGAGGTTTCCAACTCTAAAACTGCATTATTTTCTATTGTTACTTAAAGGTACCAATAATTATTTCACCAAGCTTAGCAAAATTGGTTAACTCTATAACATTCTTAGTGTTGAATATTTTTATAATTTAAAGAGTAACTTTAATTTATATAGAGAATACTCTAATAATAGCATATTCAGACTCATGATGGACAGGTTTTAAAAAGAAATGATCAGAATTGAAGCAGCAGAACCAGATATATAGAATATATATATATATATATATTCTATATATCTTCTATATTCCACTTATTTTTCTTCCTTGTCAAAACCTGGTGCCTACAATTCAGAGATTCGGTTGTGTTATGCTAGTAGTGGCTATTGAAGCAAAAACATTAATTCTATTATCATATTATATCATATAACTAATTTATTTCACTCATCATCAAAGCTAAGACAAACTGATATGGAAGGACAAGGACCAAGCAGAAAGTACATCTTGGAACTTGGAACATAAATACACAAATACATAAATACGTCTTCTTTGAAATTGGCAGATATAACTACCACAACTAAGTTTAGACAGGTTAGGGTAAACCTCACCGTGACTGTAGATTTCATATCCTTCAGTCTAAGGATAAGGTGAACTCTAATTTATTCTGGATCATTATCTCCATGATCATGTCAGAAAGATGATGACCCCCTTTTGTCACAATGTTGTTACCCAAGAACATTTTGACTGATATTTACCATTGTCATACCTTTCTTGTAGCTAGTTAAACACAGTCCACAATAACTTATTTTGTTCAGTACTCTATTCATCAGTTTTCTAAAAAAATCTCTTAACTGAAGCTATTTTTTAAAAAGAAAACAGTCTACTAGTGCCTTCAATAGCTTCAATAGTGACCTGCGATGTTTGTTGTAATGACGCCAGAATTAACGATCACAAACACCAGATGCCACATACATATAGATCTACAGTACAAGGAAGGAACTGGTTATTTATTTACTCCTAGTATTGTTTAACACATAATATTTGACTAGCATAGTGCTCTTTCTGGTATTTAAAGGTCATTTAATTGTTGAATTGTTCATTTATTAAGTCTTTCAACTTGCTACTAATATTGTAGAAGCATATCAAGTTACTTAAGGACTAAGAACTAGAAACTAGGCCTGAGTATTACATTCAACATCCCTATGCCGTTTTCCTGCTGGTATCCACTGCCTTCATGTCTTGCTGTTTCTCCTCTGTTTTCCTCCTTGCAGAAGACATCATGGGCTGTGTGGGCTCAAAGAAGGAGGAGCCTCCCAGCAAAGGGACGGGTAACGACGAGCTGCAGAACCGCGCACAGACGGCCCACTATGTCAAAGACCCCACTGCAGGAAACTCTGGGAGCAAAGCTGTAAGCAGTAATGTTGGTGGCCTGTTGGTGTTTATCACTGGGCAACCTAACATATATCACCAAGAGAAGTAATGATTTACACTTTGCTTCCTTAAAAATGCCCCATTCTGATACAGCATCTACAACTAACTATGACATACCCGTTGGTGGAAGAAGTGTTCGGATCATTTACTTCAGGACAGAAGTATCATCAACACAATACACTTAAAATATGAAAAGTGAAAGTACTCGTTATGCAGAAAAATAGTCCCTGTGACCGTTGGGTCCAGTGGTTTACAACTAAGGGGTTAGATTTCCTCCAAACGGTCACAAGATAAGTGGTCCTGAGATGATTAATTCTGCTTCTGTGAACTTTTATGTTTGGGGAAATGTTACAAGGTGCCCCTACTACACGGGGGTCACAAGCCACAACCATTGCTTTTTAATCATAAAGAATGCGTTGTAAGTTGTTGATAGAAGTATAAAATAGTATCAAATGGAAATAAATATGGTACTTTAACATGAATTTAGATCTTTAGCCATAATGTATCTGACAAAAAAGCTTTCTTTTTGCAAAAGAAAAATGGGCACATACATCTGCAGTGCCCTGGTTCTAATTAAAGAATGAGGAAGATGAAAGGTGTCAAATGCAGTGAATGGTATCGGAAACAGTGAAAGTATGACGAGGTAACGCAGTTTCACTATTTACTACCACAACTAATAGGAGACAGTTTTCCTGTGCCTTTCAGATGAGGACAGATGTATGCCGAGATATAGTGAACCTGTTCCTTTGACTTGGTGTGAGTTTGCATACTGGCCAGACTTTGATCTGTGCCATTGGTAAAGGAGCAGTGCTGCTGCATGTTAAGTGTGGTTCCTCTGGCTACTTCCTGTGTGCTGACTGCAACATCTCTCTCACCCTCAATGAAGAAAGAGGAAGTGACAGAAGCAGAACCAGAGCACTGTAGACTATTGATCACGGTGTGATCAGAGCTTGAGAATTAAGCAACACCTAAGATATCCCTCAACTCACACTGTTCTTGCACAGTGTATCTCACTATGGCTAGCCGTTTTAGCATTTATTCCTTAAAACTTACTAGTCGCCTTTTAAAAGCTTCTAGTACTTATTTATTAGTTACTTGTAACTATTCCAAAAGATACTATTAACATTTGATTTCTTACAAGTGAATTTTCTTTGGTTACTAATCATTTATTAATGACCAGTAAAATGTAACATTTTAATTGTTACTAGTAAGAATATAATAGTTACTAGTAACTAAAAATAAGCACTAGTGTCTAAATAGTAGACACTAGTAAAATGGAAATGATTACTAGTAACTATTCGACTAGTTACTAGTAATGAAATATTAAATACTAGTATCTAATCAATTGTTACTAGTAAAACGGGAATAGCTACTAGTAGCTAAAGGAATAGTTACTAGTAACTAATAAATAAGTACTAGTAACTAATAAATAAGTACTAGAAACTAATAAATAAGTACTAGCAGCTTTTAAATAGCGACTAGTAAGTTTTAAACAAAAATTGTTAAATCGGCTTGCAGTAATCTTACAGAGGTCTAATTTTGCAGACAGTCTGTTTTGCTGTCTGGTCTCCACACAGCTCAGCTTATTATACCTTGTGACTATTTCTGATAAAGAGAACACATACTACAAACCCAGAAAGCTAAAAGAAAGATAACGGCAGACAACATGCTGATTATTTAAGTTGATAAGACATAGTCCTTCCTTCCTCCATTCCACGTGCATTAGTTTTATTCTAGATAAATTTAACATCTTTACATGGCGATAGTGTTGCGTTTACAGGGTGTTTCACTGCTAAAAAAAGTACTAATGCAGCTTTAAGAAAGTTTTTTTTTCTCACGTTGAATCACCTAATAAAGGGGGGAGTGAATGTAGCCTTATACCACCATATGTCTCTCTCTTTCTCTCTGCAGAGCAAAATGCTGTCCAATGCAAACTCTTCAGATGGTGAGTCACAATCTTCTTGACAAACTACTCTACCTCCACTTACACAACCCTTAAGTGCCTGTATTTGATTCTGCATTAGATTTAAAGTCAAAAACTAAAGAACCCACAACATCTTACCACAGAGTATGCCAAATAGTTTAACTACTTTAAACTGTATCATCTTGGCCACAAACACTGTCCGAAGCTCAACACAACTTGTGAGAGAGAGGAAGACGAGTGAGGGTGTCGGGACAGGGTGATAGCCACTCTCTCTGTCTCACCACACAGGCATCAAATAATACACTGAAGACCAGCAGTTATTATTATCACGCAAACAAGGAAGTCAGTTACATAGTTAGAGTACAGGAAACACAATGTTAGTAATAAAGATAGACACGGTTCAGACTTAAATGCCGTGACCACTAAAAAAAACAACATGCACAGATACTTATAGTCATATACACTCTCTGACTTTCACATTCATGGTCTCATATATCAGCTACATCATAATACTTCTTAAGTTTATGCAGTAGGGGTTTTCAAGCGCAAGGTGTTTTCTCAGGCCATAATTTCTCAGCATGTAATCCTTGAGAAGGTAAACTCACTTGTAGCTGTCACACTGCAAAAGGGACATATTTTACACTGCATAGCATGACCATAAATAATCAACTATCTTGTTATTTTTTTCTGGCCATGCTGCTGTAGGAGAGAGTATTGCAATGGCACTGTATGACTATGAGGCCATTCATGAAGGAGACCTGGGCTTCAAGAAGGGAGATAGGCTTCGAATCTTAGAGGAGTAAGTAGAATATCAACAGTGAGAAAGATCATTTATTCTTTATTGATTCACTTATAAGAGTGATAAGTTAATTGTTTTTGAACATGTAAAGCACCTGGTTTACTAAGAAATATTCCCATTTGTTGTGTGTCTTTGTCTTGTCTCTCTCCTTCTCTGTAGATCGGGGGAGTGGTGGAAAGCTAAGTTAATCAGTACAGGGCAGGAAGGCTTCATCCCCAGTAATTATGTAGCCAAAGATACTCTGGAGGCCGAGGAGTAAGTGTATTCATATTATCCAACGAAGGTTAAAGTCAAGGGCAATAATGAAAACACATTTGCACGCATTATTAATCTCTCACCGGTGAAAACGCATTTTTTCTGAATATGATTTGAACTCCATTGGCCAGAGAGGCTGACACATTAAATGACATTTCAATAGTTACATTATTATTAGTATCTGATTATCCATAGTAGTAATAATAGTAGTAGTAGTAGTAGTAACTATCCTACTGTATAGTATATAAACATGGATCTATTAATTATTGTTTATTTAGGTGTCATTTTTGTAATTTTTCACAAAGTGGAAATAAATAAGGAACCAAAGCACACAATATAAATAGAAAATGGAGGCTTGAACACGAAGAGCCGTTAAGAGATTTCTGTAGTAACGGATCTGTTTCCTGTTGTTGAGGTGGTTCTTTAAGGGCGTGAGCAGGAAAGATGCTGAGAGGCAGCTGCTAGCCCCTGGGAACAAAGTGGGATCCTACATGATCAGAGACAGCGAGACCACCCAGGGTGAGTGAAATACATTCAATACAGATTATTTGTCCTTTAGTGGAGCTGTCTAAGTAAGCCAACTGACAAATCAGGAAAAAGCATCTCTGCAGTTACTGCAGTAACTGTGTTTTTAACAGGAGGAGAATTATAATCTGAGAATACAGTCAGCTTCAGCTCTAAGAGCTTTTTAACATCTTTGAACCTACTTTTTTAGGTTTGACAGCCTGAAACTTAACTGTTTAAAAAAATAACCACAATAATGTATTTAGGGCTGTATCAGTGGTAGCTTGTATTTTTAACATAAAGCCTATATTACACACTAGGTGTGAGCTTCAAAATAAGTAGCTATTTCAGACGAATGAAAGATGCTTTAGAAAAATAGAGATATAGAATATAGGATCCAATGTTTCTGGAGCTTGGTCCTTAATAGAGAGTAAAAGTCAGGATAATTTGGCCTCTGTTGTAAATGCTCTTTTTGTAATCTGTACTTTGTAAGTACCAGAAATTTATGGAAGTGTAAGACTAAATTGCTGAAGCTCTTTAATTTTGCCATGCTGGTATGCAGTCCCAGAAGCTTTTCTACCCTCACGAGAATTAACATCTTTGAGAAATATTTGAAACTGTAACATAAAAATGTTCAGATTTTAAAATGTTGAATCATCTAAAAATATGAGCTAGCATCAGTGAAAAAATGTTTGCATCTGCATTAAAAAAATCCCCTATTGGTCACACGGTAACTGTTTACTTTCTCTTTTATCACAGGCAGCTACTCTCTGTCTGTCAGGGACAGCGATGGCCATTCTAGTGACACAGTTAAACATTATAAGATCCGTACACTGGACAACGGAGGATTCTACATCTCTCCCCGCAACACCTTCAGCACCCTGCAGGAGCTCGTCAGCCATTATAAGAGTGAGTTCACTGTTGTCCCAATTCAGACAATGAATGTTTTTACCTCCTCACAGCTGGGCATTTTAGTAGTCTAGTTCAGTTATTGACTAGTAACTGACTTTTTTTTCTCAATTAATGGTCTCAGAAAAGAGTAAATGCAGTTCAGTCTCTAGTTCACCACCAAACTTATTGTGATGCACAGCACACTCTGTTGGCCAATTGTAATACCTCATTCAATGTTTAACATTATCAAGGTCGTTACTTAAAGTGACATATTGTTTTTATCAGTATTAGTATCAGCATAAAAGTGTTTTTATTTTTGAGAAACTTGATTTCTGAAATTACATCTTTTTCTCCACGAATAAGATTTACATATTGCAAAGTGTCATTGTAAATAACAAACTCTATACCACTAGACAAATCATGAAATACTTTTTTTCTGTTTATTCCAGAGCAGGGAGATGGCCTCTGCCAAACCCTGACCCACCCATGCTTGAGCCCCAAACCTGAGAAGCCATGGGAAAAAGACGCCTGGGAAATCCCAAGATCATCACTCAAAATGGATAAGAGGCTCGGTGCCGGCCAGTTTGGAGAAGTCTGGATGGGTGAGATAGATCTGAATCATTTTAGAGCCCAGCTATTGAAAGAGATGGGAAGGTAGCAATTCATTTTCTAATTCAAATTCTTGTTTTGTTTTAAGCTACATACAATAAGCACACCAAAGTAGCAGTGAAGACCATGAAGCCTGGCAGCATGTCAGTTGAAGCCTTCATGGCTGAGGCCAACCTGATGAAGACTCTTCAGCACGACAAACTGGTCCGACTCCATGCTGTGGTCACCAAGGAGGAGCCTATCTATATTATCACTGAGTTCATGGAGAAAGGTATGAGTGTATGCACGTGTAGTACATAGTGTTCTTTTGATTTAAGTAATTGATAGCTGAACTTCAGTTGCTTTAAACCTGTCCATTTATCCAAACAAGTAAACTAAAACCCTGTTTAACTGAAGGGGGAACCTGAGAAAATAACAAGTTAGTGATTCCCAACCAGGGTTACTTCTACCCCAGGGGGTACTTTTGCATTTGCCAGGAGGTATGTGGAAAGATGGGGGGAAAAAACGAAATCAAGATAAAATTTATTTATCTGTATTTTTTTGCATGTTGTGCAGCTGCAACATCTAGATACTCAGTGTTGCATTTGAGAGTGCATGAAAACTAGGGAGCGAGCAAGCAGAGAAGTCTTAACACACACACAGTTACAATAGTTAGCTAAAAGTAATAAACATTTGAAATAGTTAACTTAAAGTAATGAATGACAGTTAAAGTAGATAGCTTGCGGTAATAAGTGAAATTTCTAAAAGTAACGAAGAATTATTACATTTATTCATTTAGCTGATGCTTTTGTTCAAAGCGACTTATAATTGCTAAGTATGTCAGAAGTCGCACGCCTGGAGCAACTAGGGGTTAAGTGTCTTGCTCAGTTGACACATTGGTGGATGTGTCACAGTGGGGAATTGAAAACGGGTCTCTCACACCAAAGGCATAGTCTTATCCACTTCGCCATCACCACCCAATGTAAAATATAAAAGGTATAGGTAATAAAGAATTGGAATAGTAATAAATGGTTGAAACATGCCAGCTTCTGCCACTCCAAGTGATAGTATTACAAATGCAAATTTCAGTTATAACATCGACTTTTCCATGATTGATAGTGTTAACATCCAGTTTAAATGACACAATTGAAATACATTTGGAACATGTCGGGTGGTTTACATGAAGAGGTACTTGAGTTCATCCAACTGGGCTTTGGGTGTACTTGGTTGGAAACCACTGCTGTAAGGGAACAATTTAACCAATACCAACTACTAACAAAATGGACAAGGAAAATAAACTTTCATTACATTTATTAGTAGTAGTGAAACACATCTGTAATATTAGGAGTGGACATGAGGTTTATTTAACAACAAAAATATTGGTCTCCACATGTCACAGATATTTTTTTATGGTGAGAATGTACCCAGTGCATTGAGCATTACATGTAGCATATGTTTGTTAATGTGTTTTGTGTGTGTGCCCACAGGTAGTCTTTTAGACTTCTTAAAGAGTGATGAGGGCAACCGTGTCCAGCTCCCCAAGCTCATTGATTTCTCTGCCCAGGTGAGGTCATATTTAGTGTTAGTTCTCCATTCCACACATGACAGCTTATCCAACCAGATCCTCTGGTTGTTTGGTTGTTTTATGTTTTGCATCATTGAACCCTTTGTATGTCTGCATTGCGTAGTACACAGGCGGTATTTTAATATTTAGATAATTTCTTGAGTTCAGCTGTCTATTGCTCTGTTCAGAGGGATTATAACATTCAATATCTAGTTTAGAACAATATCTTTGTTCTTGCATGCCTGACTTTCTATACCAGTAGGAAAAGAAGAGCTGCATTTTTTGTGCATGGTCGTTGAGATTATAATAGACAATGGTGATTGCAAGAGAAACACTGAAACTTTATCCACGGTGAAATAATGCTGAAAAATAGATAAAAGCCAACGCAGTGTCATTCATGTGAAACACTTTAAACAACACCCAGCCAATATGATCCAGCTGCAGAGCCAGGTGTAGTGCCTGCTCTTTCAGACTTGCAGTACCAGTCCAACCTGCACCACTACTTTGAATGTAACAGTAGCAGTTCAGAGCTGCAGACACAACCATGTGTGCTCGCTGTTGGTGTCTGTATCAAACATGCAAAATCTAATAGTTGTAATAAAGAGGTCAAACTCCAGTGACTTGTCCTAGTAATGTTGGAGATGGGGTGAAGGGTTTGTGACCACATTTCATTTGTATAAAGAAAAAATGAAAGTTGCAAAGGCTAAACAATGAAAGAAAAGTAGTATTGTAGTTTACATTCTGCCTTCGGTGTTGCATATCTGAACTAAAAAATCATAGATTTATAGAAAATAAATGTATTTACAAAATCTTCAAAAACTGACATTTGGTGTTATTAGTATTCACTTTTTTCCTATTCATTATGATAATTCCACTGACTTCTTTGTCTCTAGACTGCAGAGGGCATGGCCTACATTGAGCAGAGGAACTATATCCACAGAGACCTGAGAGCTGCCAACATCCTGGTCAATAAGGCTTTGGTGTGCAAAATTGCTGACTTCGGCCTTGCTCGTATCATTGAAGATAACGAGTACACAGCCAGGGAAGGTATGAGATAATATTCACTCCTATGTTGTGTAGCCAGGTGGCATCAGCTTTAGTAAACTGGGAAACAGTCATGGTTTCATCAGTTCAGGGGAAATTATGTTGTGTCAGCAAAATGTCAGATTACAACATGAGTAAATAGTAGGAAGTGAAGACCAGAATGACTTGCTGCATGAGTTACGGAATAAGCAGGGGATGTAAGAGTTTGAGCGTGTCACCAGCTAGAAACTTTTCAGCAGTATCATAACGAGCCATCTAATGTTGTCACTAATGGTGTCAACATCAGTTTAAGTTCTGACTGATTTTCAATTTTCCACAATTACCAGGAGCCAAATTCCCCATCAAATGGACAGCCCCTGAGGCCATCAACTACGGCTCTTTCACCATCAAATCTGACGTCTGGTCCTTTGGCATCTTACTGACTGAGATTATCAGCTATGGACGCACACCATACCCAGGTAAGTGGATCACTTATTTCAATTTTGATATAGTATTTGCCAGAATGCCACATGCAGTTAGTATTTTGTCCCATTTTTACACCTGAACCCTGCCCATTAATTATCTCTCTTGGTTGTGGCTCTCCAAAATGTGGGGTAGTGTTAAGATAACTCCAATTAAAATATAAAAAATAGTTCTGAATTTGGATTTTGTTGAAGCTAGAAACATAATGGAAACACACAAAAGCCAACAGCAATAAAAAGACTCGTTTAATGGGTGTGGAGGGCCATCTGTACTATCAACAGTACACCTCCTCAGCCCTCTAGAGTTGAGCATTTCTTTATTATTATTTGAGCTTTTCTCAAGGCAGCCCTTGATTCCAGGTGCAATAATGACAAGTCTACAGCCATAAACCAAAGTTTTGGACACATTCAAATTTTGAGCTGATGATGGCGCTAAAGGAAAAGTCATCAAAGTTTAAATATGAAATAATTCATCCTGAGAACGACGTGAATGTTTGAACCAAATTGTACCACTTGCAATCCTTCCAATAGTTGTTGAGATATTTAACACAAAACCAAAAGTGTCAACGGCATTGCTGGAGTAAAAAGTAGGGATCACCAACATCAGAGAAAATAGTTGTTGAGATATTTCAGTCTTGAGCAATGTGGTAAACCAACCTATTAAACAACTGACCGACATTGCCATCCATAGTGCCACGAAGCTGGTGTACCCGCCGAAGTCATCTAATGCCAGCCTCTCTTAATCTAAGCATGTGCTTTTGTTTTCAGGGATGACCAACCCAGAGGTGATTCGTGCCCTGGAGAAGGGCTACCGAATGCAGCGCCAGGACAGCTGTCCCACCGAACTCTATGAAATCATGCTGGAGTGCTGGAAGAACAAGCCTGAGGACCGTCCCACCTTTGATTACCTGCAGAGTGTCCTGGAGGATTTCTACACAGCCACAGAAAGCCAGTATCAGCAGCAGCCATGAGACTTAACATCCACCGACATATTTTCACCTACAGTACTGTTCCAATGATCAGCAAGTTCAGTTTTTACATGCAGCAGTGCAGTTCAGAAGACACACATGCTCTCTCTTTACCATTCGCTCTCTGTCTGTCTCTCTTTCTCTTTTACGCACACATAATGTATAGTAACAAGGGACTGTACAAAAATTATTGGGGAGGGTTAAAGCTAGACCCTACCTAACATTTTAAATGTTTTCATTCCATTTGCTCCCTTTGAATTACAACTTTCAAAGTAATGTGACCGCAGTAGAGAGATTAAGAAAAGCAAGATATAAATAGAATATATTCAGCAATATTATGACAATACAATCCTACCTCATACTTAGGTCAGGGGCACAGCACAACAGATGCTGACTGATGATGGTCTGAAGGCTTGGTTACAGGCTAAGATGTCCGCAGCTGCATCATTTATACTGGATAGTTATCTTCACAAAATTGACTGTAAATCATCTGGATGTAGACCAGCAGCAGGTTTGTAAATCAATGAACCTATACAGTAGTAATCAGTACATGATATTTGCAGATATGAGTGTTAGTTACATCTGCAGCACCTAATATGAAAAGTGGCACTCAAAAGAACGGGTCACATAATGTATTGTTTCTTCTATTGGACTGATTTTGTTTTACTACATATAGCACATATTATGTGGATCGGTGGATGTGACCTGTTTATCTATCTAGAGATGAATGTGATTTGGTTAAATCTTTTAGCTTTTTGAGGTGGGTGGCAAAACTGGACATGTGTCAGAATCTTCTCTGCATGTAAAAGTGAAAAAAAGCAAGTGTGCTTGGAGAAGCCCTGTCGGCAACACAGGCAAGGCCAGAAAGACTGGGTACTACTAACAAATTTGCAAGGGTAGGCTGAAATAAAACAACACTGGGGGGGGGGACAACAGACCGTCTACTGTAAATATTTCTGAGTACATTTTCCTAAACAATAAGAAAAGATAAATACTGTAGCCCTCCCACTTTTCTTTCCTCACCACCCTTATATATTCAGTATATATATATTCTATTATAATTTTTGTACAGTCCCTAACAGTCAAACACCTTTAACGGTCTTGTATGTAGGAGGCTGTTCTGTACTGTATATGATTTTGTAAAAGCATGACTGTCTCACACGCAAAATATAATATTACACAAGTACAAAGACACATGTCCATATTCTCAAACAAATGACTGTAGACCACCTGAGAGCAGCCACTTGAAAAAGACTGGATGTAGTTGATTTGTTGCTCCAGCACACATTGTGCATCCATCAGGGGAAGGTATAACCACAACACAGATGTTCACATTGAAATATGTGCAGTGTTCATCTCTGATATTACGTCAACAATTCAGCAAGCAAAGCTGTAGTTATCCACTCCCCTTCAATTGAAGGTACAGTGTTTTGCAATGTGAAAGGATAGCAGACACTGTGGACTTACGTGGATATACGGCTGATTATGCTTAAATCCTCTATTTATATTCCATGGTTATTAATTTCCATTATAATGTGGCTGGTTTCATAATTACTCCTTCATTGTGCCTTTTGCAGTGGTTTCTTCTTCTTTTACTATTAACATGTATAATATATTCTGCACGCTCTGTATATATATAAACTGGTGTACACAAATAAATGCAATGATTCAGGAGAAGAGTCTTTTATGTGATGCCATATTAACTAATAATTATCATTTTTGTTTAATAAACATGTGTTTGGGAACTAAATGAAAAAGCAGTGCATATTTTTTTCACATTGCTTTTTTGCTTTTTTCGGGATGACTAATTTATTTGTGCAGATAATCTACTGCTTTGAACTTCTGTGTATCTTGAATGGAATTATCTTTTCAAATGTAAAAGCTTTTATTAAAATTTTTCTAGTGAAGGACTTGTGATTTTTATTTTAATATATGATTCAATTATATTTTGTGCATTATTTTGGAAATAACCATGTGTTTTGTGGACCAAAATCCTAAAATCTGAAAAGGAATATTCTCAAGTATTCGCATAATTTAGAAATTTCATGATTTGGTATCATTCATTCAGAGAGAACTGTGTGCAACAATACCTGATAGAATACTTATAAAGAGAGGTGATATGCGACAATAGGGAATCAATTCCCCTCATTATATATAAATTCATAGGGATATGGATGTTTTTGTGTTTTCCTTTATCTATATAAAGCCCTTTGCATATTTTGTTAGATGCTTGGTTGAATGCAACTGTGTGAAATGTTTCAAATAAAGTGTTTTAGAAACAAACATACTCGTGTTTTATTTATATAACAGCCAACACGAGTTAATGAATTTTTTTTACACATTATGTTTATTTATGGGTGTGTCAAATAAAAAAAATTATCAATCGAAAATCATAGTACGTCTGCGACGTCACTAATGACACGTATTCAAAATGGCGGCCGCGGCTATGGTAAGTGGAAAAAAGCGAACTCTGTTTCTCCAAACTACACATTTCCTGGGGTCTTCCCAAGTCATCTCAGACACAGTGCTGTGATTCTGACAGAGTAGATGTCTACTTTAGGCGATAAACATTTTAACGTTGATTGGGTATGAATGTAACAGGAGTTCGCTTCTGTTTGTATGTTGACGATTCTGCTAACTGCCTGCTGGAGTTAGCTAGCTGTCGTTAACGTTACCTAGCTTGGCTGTCAGTGAGCTGTGGCTAGAAAAACGGATTTGTATTAATTTGTCTGATATATAAACTGTGCTGACTGAGCGTGACAAGCCACGTACTCTGTTGTGAGACTGTCATTTGCTGTCCGATAAAGACAAATCAGCTAGTCGAACTTTAGCTAAACATTAGCTGTTAGCTTCTCTGTCAGGCAGCGTCAGTTTGAGGTTGTTTTAAGTTAGTGTGGAAAGATGTCAAGATCACTGCAGCAGATAAGCTACAAAAGACCATTTTAACGTGAACAACTTGTGCTGGTGACTTTACTGTTTGACAAATTAAATGTCGTTTAGGTCAGAAGCCACGCTTGCTAATTTTCTTCATTGCCATAGCCTAACTTAAGTCACAGCGCTGATAACTTGCATGTGCTCCCCTTGTTCATTGTTTTCCGGTATTGGATCACTTAATCATAATTGGGCTTTTTGACAGTGAACAGCAGAAAATGACTGTAATGTCAAAATAAACACATGTATCTTAAAGACAATGTAAATACAAAACATCAGCGGTGCCCTCTTTGTCTTTCAGTTAGATTTTAGCAGAGGCATCTTCGGACAGACTTGACTCTTTTAGAAAAGGCTAATCTGTATCTGCTTTGCACACCAGGACACTGCAGATTCCTTGATTCCTTCAGTCCACAAGTGTCCTTGAGTAAAACACTAAACCCAAAGTTGCTACTTATCTTTTACTCCAGTGCTTTGCATGTTAGCTCTCTGCCATTTGTGTGTGTGGAGGGGTTGAGAGGTTAATTTTATTCCAAACTAGAGTAATTTGGATAAAATCACTATATAAATGCAACTACAACTCCATGTAAATGTTTGATTAGATTAAATTGTGGCCACTCTAGGTCATAAACATTGTTGTCAATCCAATTGTCTGTTGTTAAAGTTTCATTTGAGGTGTTTTTCACTGCTGAGACACCTGAACAACAGTTATATGCACAGTGTCTCTCATCTCCACATGTCCACAGGCTCGTATGACTGATTTTTATCACAGATTTCTTTTCACAGGGACACTCAGTTTTCAACAACAGTCTTTATCTATTTATAAAAAATGCTATACTGGGCACTTGGGAATAATTTCTTCCCCTGATTATTACTTTTCAAATCTTGGATTTGTTTAAAATGCTGCTTTGACGTGATTATGTAGTGATTGTTTATTTGCATTATTTGCATTTGCTTGAAGTTATTCCCCTCCATTACTGTACTAATTGTATGGTGACATGAATTTTGCCTGGTATGTTCCAATATTTAAAAGCACTGATTATATTTCTGGGTAAACTTGTATAGTCAGAGAGACATCCTTAACTGCCAGACTTTGTAAGGCAAGGCAAGTTTATTTGTATAGCACATTTCAACAACTAGGCAATTTAAAGTGCTTTATATAAATTGTATACATAAAATACAATTTTTTTTAAAGAGTAAAATTGAAAAAAAGTTTTTGTTCGATGGGTTATGAACAATCAGGCTTTTCACCTTCTGCTTTTTTTAAAAGGTTTGACTGGTATCTCTCACACCAGTCAAACCTGATCCTCTATATCGTACGATATTTAATTTCTCTTATTCATGATCATCACCGTGAAACCACATTGTTTGCACTACAGTCTTGGTAAAATCAATCAAAACGGTGGAGATAAACCTCCTTAAAAATCTACTCTGCCCTGCTCAGACCTCATGTAATGAATTTTGATGTGGCATTGTGGAGGTAAAAACCTGTTACAGATCACCTTTGACACGTTTTTGTGTAAGCAGTTACGTCATGAAAGGGACATGTGAGGAAGTAGTTTTGGGTTTGTTTGGACTGGAGGAAGGGCTTGAAAATGATTGGATGCACACTCTGCTGTCAGTACACACACCAACTGTCCTTCTCTTTCTCTTCTAACTTGAAGCTCAGCATTGTCTGCACCTCCTTGACAAATGTATAGTTTCTGTAGTTTCTTCTTCAAGTCTTTGGTGTCTCTGTGTGGCTATCACGTTTACAATGTGTTTGTGTTTGTCTTGCATACACGCTCTGTGTTGTAAAACATTTGGTTGTGTCTGTGTTGTAGGAGACATTGTTTTCAAGTATTGAATCACATAATCATAAATAATATGTTTGACTTTGAACAGTAAAAAAATGCGCTGCGATTTCAAAATGAACCCATGTATCTTAAAGACAAAGTAATCACAGAAAATTAGCAAGTACCCACTGCATTTTGATGTGACTTTGACTTACACATAACAAGTAACAAAACTTTTGTTACAATGTGTTTGTCTGGCATACAGTCTGTGTGGTAAAACATTGGGTTGTGTCTGTGTTGCAGGAGACGTGGTGGGCCTTGCTGCTGCTGTCCTTGTTACCTGTGGTCCGGCCCTTCTATGTTCCCGGAGTCGCTCCCCGGGACTTCCATGAAGGTGACACAGTAGATATTAAGGTATGGCTAAATTTAATTTGATCAATACTTCACAGATTTGCACAATTAGCTGACATCGTGAAGGTCCTGGGATGTGAGTCCAATCCCCACACCAAAAACCTGGATGTTAGGATGCTTTCACATCTGTATTTTATTTTATTTGGTCAAGACTAAGGAATAAAATTATGCATTGTTGTCGTTTCTGGTCTGTTTCATGTTTCCATTGACTTAGTGCAAATGTTGTAGTGGTGTTAGCGGGTATGTTTTTACTATTTGTAGTAGCTTGTTTCTTATTTTACCGCTTTAATTGTACTTCATCTTCCACCTTATTTAAGTATACACTCACTTGTTGAATTTGGCTCATTTCCCTTAAGTTCTATTCACAGTCACAGACCTAATGTTCCTCTGCTGCAAACACATCAATGTGCCCCTCTTCTTACCGTCTCTCTCTCCCTGTATGTCTGCTCCAGTGACTTTCTCCATCAGGAGTAGGCTACATTATATAAAGTCATCTGGACATTTCCTCACGCGATTCCATTCGCAGCAACAGCTGCACTGCATGTGGAGGAGGCGTGTTGACAACATAGCCTATCGGAATGAATCCAATGTGGTAGCCGTGGTCTGTGCTTGTAAAATATCCACCGTGTCAGTGACTTGTAACGTAATAACAACTGTTTCTCTGCAAAATGGGTCATCAAATATACCTGAACGGCCGTTAATATACCTGGGCGGCCCGCCCAAGTAAAGTCTGTGTGTGACTGTTGTTCTTTTTACAAGCCAGGTCTTCAGCAGTGTCGACCGGCACTGTGTCTCCCTCCATGTTGTTAGAGAGTTTATGTGCTAGAGGAGCTGCACATAGAGGCAGAGGGAGGGGACGGGGTTTAGCGGTGAGGGACAGAGGGACGGAGACAAGCAAATGCTGGCAGGACTTTACGGAAACATATATTAATTAATTCAACGTTAAACTATATTGGTATAAATTAGGTATTGTCTAATTTTATATTTCTTTTGAAATATTACTTCATAATACCGATATACCGTCCAGCCCTACAGTTGCATCACTATTTTTTTTAGCTATCAGCTTTTCAATTTAGCTTGAGGTTGTTCAAGGCATGTGCTAGTTAACAATAAAATTAATACTGCATTCAAAAATACATCTTTTGAATGAACGTTTCTGCAGTAGCAGAACGGTGTGCATTGCACTCATCTTTGCAGCTGATTTGCTGTTAACAAGGCATATAATTTATCTAGTGACAGAGTAGCTTACGGCCAGTACTGCAACACTACTCCAACCAGCCGGTACTCCAACGGGGCAATCTGACACAATATTTTTATACAAAGAAAGGAATAACTTCATGTAGTACATTCGCCGAATTTACAAGAGGAAAAACTCACAAATCTCTGGGGCGAATTGGCAACCACCTCGAATTACTCATGCGCAGGTTTGGAGGACAGAGATCGCATGTCAATAAGGATAACAAGAATGCATTAAAAATACCAGCTGTAAACACAAAGCAAGATCGGATCATTAATATTCTGATATCGTATCTGGATGCAGATTACATTTTAAACCCAGTTTCACAATAAATGGTGATGTGGGCTCATAACGTAAAGTAACATGGCTTTTAACGTTAAGCTACCTAGCTATCTATCTAGCTTACCGAGACGGGTCTTCATCATCCTGAGACCCAGTGTGCATGAGATGCTCCAACATGTGTGTGTTCCCATGTCAGGATTGTAAATGTTGCAGTGCAGAGTAAAACACTCTCACAAGTTGGAGGTTTTAGGTCGTGAAGGTGTTAAAGTTATCATTGCTGATGTTGCTACTGTTCACCTAACCAGTAAGCGAACGGTGTCGCTAGGGCCTGATGATACCACAAACAAATCAATAATTAAATTTGTTGTCAGCTAATTTCATCATCTGTTTTCGTCGATCACGGCAATTATAACGGGTAACTCCTCCATTGGATAGTTTTAGTGATTGGCATCATCAGTGGTGCTACATGGACCCATGTGGAGAAGACAAATCCTGGAGACTAACGGCAACATTTCACTCACTGATTCATTGAAGAACATACACAGATTAGCACACAAACACATCACGCCTCTGTTTGAACCCCTATTTGACTTTTTCATTGAGATTGAAAACCATCAGACCAAGTTGTTATGAGTATAGTTTTGTAAATG